TGTTAAGTAGTGGATCTAGATTAAGAGGGCCTGAGTTCAAATCACATCTCTGACCTTTACTACCTGTGTCACCACAGGCTAGTCCTTCTTCTCCCTGGACCTTAATTTCTTTTGTTGTTATTTAAAAAGAGAAAGAGAAGATAGAAAGAAAGAGAGAAAAGAAAGAAGGAAGGAAGGAAGGAAGGAAGGAAGGAAGGAAGGAAGGAAGGAAGGAAGGAAGAAGGAAGGAAGGAAGGAAGGAAGAATTTATGAAATCCATCTCGGATAATCCGGAAAATGGAGAGTCCAAAATAATAAGGAATTGATGGCCATTTGTCTCTAACATTGGGTAAGGGGCAAGCTTATCTGCCTGCCCACTGGCCAAATTCCAGACATGAGACCAAAGATCTAAAGAAGCAGAATCATGCATTTCCCCAGTGAAATGCTTTTACCTGCCATGCCTGCTATATGTGAAATGGTCTGGGTTTTTTGAAATGTTAGGTAGCTTAACTTGCAGTTAGTGGCAACAAGAAAGTGGCACTGATCTCCCTTCGCACTCTAAGGCTGCTCTTTAGCTGTCAACTGGAACACAATAAAAAAGAAAGGAAGATGCTGAAGAGGGGGAATTCAGACAGAAAGCAAAAAAAAAATCCAAATGGCAGGAAAACAAACAAAGAAAACCACAGTGAGTCAACAACACTTTTGTCTCCCCTCTCACATATTTGTAATCGGGGAATGATTATCAGGCATTTATATGGCATGGTTCTGCCTAAGGGATTCAAGGAGTTTTACTAAATATAAATTATCTGATAGGTATTAACTTCTTACAACTTCCCTTATAAGTGGAAAAGAAAGGACAAATGATCAACCCAAAATACTGTTATTGTTCGGTCATTTTTTCAATCATGTCTGACTTTTCATGAGCCCTTTTTGGAGTTTTCTTGGCAAAGGTACTAGAGTGGTTTGCCATTTCCTTCTCTAGTTTAGTTTACAGATGAGGAAGCTGAGGTAAAGAGGGTTAAGTGACTTGCCCAGGGTCACACAGCTAGTAAATATATGATGCTGGATTTGAACTCAGGTCTTCCTGACTCCAAGCATGATGCTTTATCTACTGTGCCCTTTTAACCAAAGGTATGTGGCAATAACTGTCATAGTTTGTAAGAGAATTTGTTGACAACTGCTATAATAGGAAAATGAAATTGTAGCATTAATAGAAGCTACATATGAATATTAGCAAGTACCTGGCACATAGCAGGCACTTTAAACTCTTTATTTATTGACAGATTGACTGAATGTGAGAAATAAATGAATGAATAACTTTCATATGCTGAATTATGGGAGGCAGTGTGGGGTAGAGGAATAAGTAGTAGACTTGGGGGCAGGAATCCTAGGTTGGAATCCCACCTTAGACCCTAACTCTGTGACCATGGATAGCTACATCACCTACCTTCCTAGAATCTCAGTTTCCTCACCTGTAAAATGGGGACAATAAGAGGGTTATGGTGGAGAAAACGCTTTGCAAAGTTTAAAGTACTAAAAAAAAATGACACATTGGGATATATACCAAATGGTGAGAGAGGAAAACAACCCTAAAAGGCTCTTATTTTAGTAAATTTCCAGAGCCTCCTCATGGAGCCCTTGTCCTTAGCTGCTTGGTTTTCTCCTCATTCAAACAGAGGCTCAAACACTGGGGCTGTAATTTCCCATGTGGATGCTCATCCATCTTTGAAAGGGTACTATGAGAAATTTGGGGACAGGGCAATAGGAGTCAGGACCTGTGATTTCATTAGCATAGGGAGCGCCTAGTAAGGAAAAACCTCTGCCTTGTTGATCAGCAAGTTAGAACCTTTCAGAGCTGTTTGAGGCACAGAGAGATTCAGGGACTCCCCTAGGGCCATATTGTCATCTGTTAAGGCCCCATTTGACCCTGAGGTCAGCTCTCTGTCTACTATGTCTCCCTAAAAGACACATTCAGAGGATAGTAGGTATTAAGCTAGAAGAAACCTCAAAGACCATCTAGTCCAGGGGTGGGGAACCTGCAGCCTCCAGGCCACATGTGGCCTTGTAGGTCCCTGAGTGCGGCCTTTGGACTGAGTCTTAGTTTTAGAGAACAAGTCCTTTTATGAACGGGATCTGTTCTGTGAAGTTTGGATTCAGTCAAAGGGCAGCACTTGAGGACCTGGAGGGCCACACGTGGCCTCGAAGCTGCACGTTCCCTTACCCCTGATCTAGTTCAACATCCCTAATTTACAAATGGGGAAACTGACGCCCAGGGAGATTAAGTGATTTGCCAAAGGTCACACAACTGGGATCACAGAATCAGAACTGGAAAGAACCTTACCATTCACCTAATCCAACCCCTCACACACACACACACACACACACACACACACACACACACAAAATTAAACAAAAACCGATGTGAAACTAAATTCTTTTTTCTAGTACTCAATACTAGGAGACTGTAAATTATGCCACTGTGTTCTCCCAACCACTGATGGTGGGTATAATCACTTATTAAACACCTATTATGTGTCAGTAAGGGTTGTACAGATATTATCTCATTTTTTTCCCCTCATAACAACCCTGAGAGGTAGGTGCTATTATGATCCTCATTTTACAGTTGAGGAAACTGAGGCAGATAGAGGTTAAGTGACTTGCCCAGGGTCACAGAAGAGGCTAAGGTTAGATTTGAACTCACATCTTCCTGACTCCAGGTCCAGTGTTCTAACCACTGTGCAATCTACCAACCTGGGAAATCCTACATCAAAAGCTCTCCTTCAAGGACTAGGGGAGGGGAGGTGGAAAGAGAACAGTATGTAGAATAAGCTATGTGTTGTGCTTCCACAAGCCTTGCCTTCATAGGATCACAGATTTCAAGTTGAAAGGCACCTTAAAGTCACTGAAAGCAAACCTTTCATTTTACAGATGAGGAAACTGAGGCCCAGAATGTGATTTGGCGGTCAGCATTGGAGACAGGATTTGAACTCGGATCTCCCTGAGTCCAGCACTCCACTCCCTATACTATGCTGTCTCAAGGCATCCAACTTAACTCATACCTTCTTTTTAAAATGTTTTCATTTGGCTTTTTTTCATATCACTATCAATTTGCAAATGACTCTCCAACATATACAACTTTACTTTTTTTTTTAAATGTGAGGCAATCGGGGTTAAGTGACTTGCCCAGGGTCACAACCAGTGAGTATTATGTGTCTGAGGCCAGACCTGAACTCAGGCCCTCCTGACTCCAGGGCCAGTGCTCTGCTGCATATACAACTCTACTTTGCAACAAAACTATACGGCTAAGCCAAAGAAGACAACACATTGGCCAGGTCTGACAGCGCATGCCTCATTCTGCACCCATAGTCCACCACCTCTCTGCAGAAAGACAGGAGATACGTTGCCCTGCTAGTCCTTAAAAGGCCATTTGCTCCTAGTTTGATCAGAGGGCTGACTGACTTGTATTTTCCATGGCTATTTTTCTTTGTGTCTTGTAGTCTCTGTAATTCAAAGTGGTAGTAAAGTCAACAAGAAATTGATGGATGAGGGAATGGCTTCAAAAAACATCCCGGCTTTGACCTTCTTGAACTGTACACAACTTAGGCCCCCACAGTGAACAGATAAAGGCTAAAATTACGAGGGGAGGGGTGGAGATAAAAACTGAAATTTGATTCAGCATCTTAAGGGACAATATGAAGCCTCCCCTCATTATATTAGGGTTTCTTGGTGATACTTTCACAGATTTAAAGGGGATGCTTGGGCATCAGTCTAGTCCCAACCCCCTCATTTGAGGGTCACAGAGAGGCAAAGTGACCTAAGTTCCTAAGAACAAAACCTCAGAAGCCATCTAGTTCAACCCCACTCCCCTCGCTCATTTTACAGATAAGGAAACTGAGGCCCAGGGAGATTAAATGACTTGCTCAAAGTTACACAGGTACTATTGGGGGAGAGGAGGAAGGGAGGTTTGAACCTAGGTCCTCTATCTCTAAATGCAGTCCACTGACATTTTCATTTGATCTGCTTTTAATGATTATGGTAGCAAAACCCTTCTAAGCAACCTATCTCAAAGTAAGGATTTGATCTTTGTGATAGAGGCAATGGAATAACTAGAATATTTTTTAGGCTTGGACTATATTGCCAAAATAATCTGGATTTCCAGCAGTTTGATATTTTAGTACTGAGAAAGAAAGCAGCTGATAAAGAATGACTCAGTATCTAACTTTAAAACAAGAGAGAGGAGAAAAAGGGAGGGAAAGAGAAAGAGAGGGAGAAAAAGGAGAGAGAGAAGGAGAGAGAGAGAGAGAGAGAAATAAAAGGAGGGCAGAAAGAGGAGAGGGAGAGAGAGAAAAAGAGAGAGAGAGAGAATATGAATGAATGAAAGTATTTTCTTCGCTTTACAAAAACTTTCATGCTTATTAAATTCTAAGTCATCCTAATAAAGCTAGTGTTCCTGTTCTCCTTATAATTGACCTCCTGCCCAGGCACTGAATTGGAATGCCCACTGTGTTCATCCCATGCTAAAGAATGTGTAGATTCAGCGAGTTTTTGCTGGCTTCATTTTTTTTTTTCACATTTAGGCCTGGCCTGTCTTATTTGACTTTCTGCACTGAATCAAGTAATTTTAGATAAGAAAACTACAATTCAGAGGTTAAGTGACTTGTCCAGGATCTCACAATCAGTAAGTGTCTGAGTTAAGATTGAATTATGTACGATGCCAATCTGCCTTTCCATTCCATGCTGTATAGAGACAACTGTAAGATATGGCTATCTGCCCTCGTCCCCAACCCCCAAGGACCAGTAAAACTCTACCAGGGTACTCTTTCTGTTGAGGGCAGAAGAACAGGTTGCATCGCATGTGTGCCTAACTCCAATAGTCCAAACACTGTTGTATTTTTATTTAAAACTCTCGTGATCCCTACATCTTCTTTAAAAAACAAACAAAAATGACATTATATGACAAACCCCATCATCATATGTCTTTTTTTTTTCTGTGAGTAGACAAATCAAAATAAATCTCTTACCTTGTAGAGAAGGGGAACAGCCACAGACAGTGTAATATGGCAAGTGATGTCAAAAATGATCTTCAGTCAACTTCACACATGATTTACATGTCCCTTCTGGGGATTTCTCTCTCTCTCTCTTTCTCTCAACCAGACCTGATAAAAAGCTAAATAAAATTATGACATAATCAATGTATATATACTACATATACAGGTATATGTATATACGTGTGTATGTATACATACATATAGACATATTCAAGTATACAAACATATACATATATGTATACACATTTTATATATAAAGATAGACATACTGACTATGTTTACTCAACTTTGAGGAAACAAAAAGAAACCATCAAACACTACACAAAAAACCCCAAAACCTGGTTCTCTCAGAATTTAGATTAGAAAGATGGGTGCCTGGAAGGTAAGCAGAATTGTTGGAATGATTTCATTACCCCAAAGATAAAATGTTACAGTGCAATAAAAAAGATATTTAGTCCCCAAAACTCTTGAGGACATTTCAATACTCCGCTGACGCCCCCCCATGAGGTTTCAAATCATTAGTGTTTTCTCATTTAATATATAAACTATGTACAAAGAAAGCATGGGAGCTATGATAAAGATATTGGCCAACAATATGGACCAGCATGCTTAGAAGCTTGCTTGAGAAATTAAGAGGTAAATGTCCATAAGAAAAGCCTCTCAGAAAAAAAAATCAATACGCTGAATTTTTTTTAGATGACGGTTCCCACTCAATATTTTTACACTTTGAAAAAAGAGTCCAGATCTCTGACTCAAAAGCTCCAAAGCAAAGCTTTGAATTTAACCTGCTTTCCAGTCTTAATTTAGCTACCATTCTTTCCATCATATTGTTTCAGACAAGGAAAGAAAAATCAATGGCCCTACTTACCTGTGGCAAAATTTTGCTGCCAACTCTCCATGGCTCTAGGGGATCCAATCCTCCGTGGCCACGGGTAGATTTCTCCCAAACACCTGGTGAAGCACTCATTCCTCCTTTTGAAACAGAAGAAAATGTGGTTGTCATTTGAATAGAATTAACACTATTTCACTTAGTCCTGCTCCACCTTAGGGGAAAATTAGCCAGCACCTATCAAAAATAAAGAGGTAGTAAAAGTTGGCATTTTTCAAACTGCTGACTGATCTCATAATTTGTTTTTGGAAAGAGAGATCTTCAATATATGTTTCTCCTCAATTTTGGTAGTTCTTTCATTTATGACAGAACTGAACAATAGGTTTGCTGAACTTTTTTCCCCTCTTTTTCATTCTATGTTATGAGGGATAGCTCTCTTGGAGGGGAAGAGGGAGAGATATACTGGGAAATGTAGGTGGTGTAAAAACAAAGGCTATTAATAAAAATGTATTTTTAAAAAAGAAAGGACTGAACAAATGTGCTCCAAGTGAAACACAGATAAGGAATGTAAACTTTGAAATGCTGTAAATACGAATATAAGTAAGATCTGTGACTTCATCCATGAGAGAGCACTCTCGGTGTGGGAAGTGTGTCCTCCAAAACAGATGGCAGCCTATGACTTAAATAGATAGCAGACCATAATCATAAGACTTTTAGAGCTGGAAGAGATCTCAGTGGTCAACTAATCAGATCTGTTATTTAAGAGACAAAGAGAGGAGTCTAGTGAGGTTAAATATTTTGTCTAAGGTCACACAGATAGCAAGTGGCTGAGCAGGTGAATCTTAGGGAGTTACCTGAGGTATCCGGAAATAAAGTGACTTGCCCAGGGTCACATAGCTAATATCAGAGACAGTATTTGAACACAGGTCTTTTAAATGCATATTATATACTCTCCCAGCTCCCAGTAAAATGTAAACTTTCAAGGAAAGGACTTTCTTTTGATCTTTCTTCCTTTTGTTCTTTCGTTCTTTCTTTCTTTCTGCCTTTGTATCTCCAGTATCCAGCACATATTAGGCATTTAATAAATGTTATATTGAACTGGGCTGAATTGCTGACTTCCAGCCCAATATCCCACCCATTACGACATGCTGCCTCCATAAAGTACTATAATAAATGTGAGCTGACATTATTCTTCCTTCTCTATAAAAGGACCATTCCATGAGAAATGAGAATGACTAACAGTACAGTACTAACAGCCCAATAAGAATTCTTGGGTTCTGGAGATATTATATAACAGATGTCACTCCCTAACTTTTATTGCTCTCATCTTATTTCACTTTTTATTGATTTCATCAATAAAACTGAAGTCTTCTTGGATATGACAATTTAAAAGCTTCCTTTGGAAAAAAAAATCTAAAGAGTGAGTGTTTTATATTTATATCTTGTTAATGAGCATTGGGAAGAAAAGGATGTAGAAAATCCCAAAAGGCAGGCAACTAGAGGATGTCATATTCCAGGAGGTGTAGGCTTATTTTGTGTCATGAAAAATGTCAGAATGGCAAGAATCACCGTAGTAGCCTGCCCACTCTCCTTGTTAAACATGGAGGTGAAAATTTTAGTAAGTCATGTCCCCCATATTCCTTACATACCTGAGTTAAACCGCAAAGGTATTTGTTTCACCCCAGGGCAGTGTTCTTGGGGGATTGGCTGAATGTATTCCCTGAAGCCATTCTGTTCTCAACGTAGTCATTACAGAAGAGTCAAGTCATCCACTTTTCAATCAGCCTAGAGTATCTGCAAAATGAGAAGACTACGTTGAGAGAGAGAGAGAGAGAGAGAGAGAGAGAGAGAGAGAGAGAGAGAGAGAGAGAGAGAGAGAGACAAAGACAGAGAGAGACAGAGACAGAGACACAGAGAGAGAGGGAGAGAGAGAGAGAGAGAGAGAGAGAGAGAGAGAGAGAGAGAGAGAAAGAGAGAGAGAGAGAGAGAGAGAAGGGAGGAAGGAAAGAAGGAAGGAAGGGAGAAAGGAGAGGGGAGGTAGGAGGGAGAGGAAAAGAGGAAGGAAGGAGGGGAGAGATGGAGGAAGGGAGAAGCAGATGAAGGGAAGAAGGAAGGGCAGGAAGGGAGAAAGGAGAGGAAAAGGAGAAAGGAGAGAAAGGGGAGGAAGGAGAGGGAAGGGATGGAAGGAGAGGAAGGAAGGAAGGAAGGAAGGAAGGAGAGAAAGGAATAAAAGGAAGAAAGAAGAGAGGGAAGAAGGAAGAAAATATTGCAGAAAGGAAGAAGGATCAAAGAAACAAATAATTAAAGAAACTGAGAAAGAAGAAATAAAGAGCATAGAAAGAAGAGGAAAAAAATTATCTTCCACTTTTGCTTCTCACAGCCAAAAAACCCCCAAAAAACCTAGAAAGAAAACTTAGAACTGGCTGTTTTCCATAATATTTGTGACCTTTTGGGTAGCGATTACATAGCCACTGTTACACTCTGACAGGTGATGAGCTGAGACATGACAGATATAAGCCCCCAAGAACAACATTGCTGCCAAATGTATTTAAGCTCATGTTAAAACTTTGACTTTAGATTCCCTTGATTAACTTTTGCAACAGCTCCTGTGGTTGCCTTTCAAGGTCCTGATAAATTAAGTCATTTTCCCCATGACTGTCAGTTTCAGTTGTTTTACCCCACGTGTTCCCAAACAGCAGACATTTTTATATCCCCCCATGAATTAGTGAATTATAGAAAATAAAAAGGGGTCAACTCCAAATTCACATTTTCAAGGAAGTGGTTCCAATGTTCATCAGGCCATGTCTACACTGGCTAAGTAAAGCGCTCTTTTTAGAAAGAGAAGCGCCTTAGTCAGCTAGAGTCTACATAGCTGATCTGTTGGGGGAGGGAAGGTTGGAAGTAGTTTGTTAGGTTTTATTTTTCCACCTGATTTCACCACGGAAACAAAATCACCAAGCATTTAATGAGCATGACCCATGCTGATACAAAATATTGTATGATTATTGTTTCCCACTTTATTGAGGCAGGATAGCTAGTATCCCAAATGTTAAAAACATAGTTAAGATAACTTAAATGGAATATTCTTGAGCAATAAAACATGATAAATAGAACAAATTCAGAGGATAACTGGGAAGATTTGTATGAACTGATACAGAGTGAGAACTAGTAGAAATAACCAGTAAACAGAACCAGTACAACAATGTACACCATGCCTAAAATGATATCAATGAAAAGAACATTACAAAGGATTTTGGTAACCAGTCTTGCTCCTAGACAACAAACAAGGAAACATTCTTGGCAAAGAAGCTGGAGAGTACAGGGGCATAAGGTAGTAAGCATTGTCAGACCCAGTTGATATACCAGTTATTCCAGTTTAACTATTCTTTCATTGTTTAACAATTCTTGTGATGACATAATGGTGGTTCTGGGTAAGGGTGGGGGAGGGTGGGTGGACTGGAAGGTTAAATCATAAATTACTGATATAAAAACAAAAAGCATCACAAAAAGAAAGTTAAAGGAAAGAAGGCAGAAAGAAGGCAAGGAGGGAGGGAAAGAGGAAGAAAGGAAGGAGGGAGAGAAAGAAAGAAAGGAAGAAAGAAAGAAAGAAAGAAAGAAAGAAAGAAAGAAAGAAAGAAAGAAAGAAAAAAAGAAAAAGAAAGAAAAGAAGGAGGAAGGAAGGAAGGAAGGAAGGAAGGAAGGAAGGAAGGAAGGAAGGAAGGAAGGAGAAGGAAGGAAGGAAGGAAGGAGGAAGGAAGGAAGGAAGGAAGAAGGAAGAAAGAAAGAAGAGAAAGAAAGAAGAAGAAAGAAAGAAAGAAAGAAAGAAAGAAAGGAAGGAAGGAAGGAAGGAGGGAAGGAAGGAAGGAAGGAAGAGAAAGAGAGAAGGAGGGAGGGAGAAGGAGAGAAGGGGAGGGAAGGAGGGAGGGAGGGAGGGAGAGAGAGAGAGACAGAGAGAGAGAGAGAGAGAGAGAGAGAGAGAGAGAGAGAGAGAGACAGAGACAGAGAGAGACAGAGAGAGACAGAGACAGAGAGAGACAGAGAGAAATAGAGAGAGACAGAGAGAGAGAAAGAGGCCCATAAAGAGATCCTTTTTACTTCATGGCAATTTCTGGAGATGTATGCAAAAAAGTGTATCATACACCATTAACAAAATGCAAACCATTCTTTCCCCCTATTGGTGGCCATAGCAGTAGCGGTGGTGGCTGTGGTAGTGGTCGTAGTTGTGTGTGTTTGTTTATTTTAAATCAACATTTTTTTCCCAATGGCTCTTGGCTAGCAGCTGCCTACAACACTGATATCATTTTTTTAAACAAATCAAATGGTTGAAAATGATAGCTAAATACCAAAAGAAATGAATTTAAAATGGTAATCAATGTTTTTGAGGAAACATTTATGAACTCTCGATCCCTTACAATCAAGATTTAATAACTATTGTTGGGGCATTATAACATGGTTACTGTACAATGCCCTAACATAATCTTTAATGCTGAAATTCTTCCACCAATTTTCGGGATAAAAAGAGGTTTAGCAGAAATGTTCTTCTAACAGCTATGAAATTATAGGCTTCCCCTTTATCCACCCAAACACATGCTAAATAACAGATACAGCACTAATCACCTTTGGATTCATGCCAACGTGCTGACATTGGTGTCTTGGCAGAATTTGACAAAATTGCTTTGAAGGAATAAAACCTAACTCCTAAGGATGACCTCAAACACTTTCAGAAAGGGCCCTTGGAAGTAAAGTATGTGCAGGTACTTAAAATGGTAGAGTCTCCTCTGAATGAGATGAGGTCTAGCAACCTCTGCATCTCCTTCCCTTCTCTTTCACCCACCAAAAGTAGGGAAAGAATCAAGTCTTGATATTCTGAGCTCCAATATCCCCATTTTGGACATTTGATATATTGATTATTTAACCATTTCTGCCAAAATGTGTCTTTTGTATAAGACTTTGAACTCACCAGTTTGGTTGTGTAGATACAACTGTTTTAATAGGGGCAAAATTAATATTCAAGCTCTATCCACATGGCACCAAAATTTGAATTAGCTTAAACTTTCCAGTTAATTCCACAAAAGCACTAGTGCTTACCACAGTGCTTGACATATAGTAAGCATTTAATAAATGCTTATTCCTTCCCCGTAAATTCAGTATCCCTAGTCAGGCTCACCCAGGTTTTCAAGAGCCTCTAGACCATGGGTGGGGAACCTGTGGCCTCAAGACCACATGTGGCCTTCTAGATGCTGAATCCCAGAAGGGCCACACTTGAGGACCTAGAGGGGCCACATGTGATCTCAAGGCCAGAGGTTCTCCACCCCTGGTCTAGCCCATTGGTTCTGAAGGTGGGGTCTCTGAGCAAGCGTGCACACACACACACACACACACACACACACACACACACACACACCCCTATACATATACTAGTAAGAAACTAGAAAGGAATTAGTATAAAGCATTAATCACCCACTGACCGAATTATTAAGTCCTTTTCTAATTCCTCACTGTGAGGTGGCCCTCATTTTTAAAAGCTGGGCTAATAGAACACAAGCTCTTGCAAGTCCTACCAAGCAAGAAAGTCTTTGAGTATAGTAGTGGAGATGGATTGTGGTCTCCTTCCGGGAGAATCAGACTGGTTAAGTTTGGAAAAGCTCATCCCCAGCCTGGCTGGAGGGGGATAAATTAGAAATGGTTCCCTAAGTAGCCAAGCCTATGTTCCTCAGTATTCTTGGGGAAGGTGTCAACTAGATCTGATTCTTCTTAGATTCTTTCTCAGATTCCTCCCTTCCTATCACTAGAATAGATGACTCGTGCTGTTCTCCCTTGCTGTCAATCCTGTCATTTCACTTTTCTGGAGCTCTGTTTCCTCATCTGTAAAACAAAGAGGCTGGTAGACACAGCCTCTGAGGTCTCTGCTAATACCATGTCTACGATTCTAAGATATATTTCTTTTCAAAGACTCCAGTAACAACAGTAGCACAATGTCTTCTAAATGGTAAGACTTTGGGTAACATTTAGATAAGTCTATTTTATTAGCTAGTACAGTTAAATGAATGGTAGCCCTGCAGTCACAGAAAATGAACTCAAATCCTAATTCTTACCTCCCTGAATGACCTTGGGCGCCTTATTTTAATTCTCTGGGCCTCAATTTCCCCATAAGTAAAAGGAGTAGTTGGGCTCCACCTAAATGACCTCTATGTTCCCTTCCATCTTAGATCTTTATTCCTACTGATAACCAAGTCTGCATATCAACTACTTGTGCTCCTCTGTAACTTGTCTAAACTGAGGGTGATAGTACCATAAAATACTCCATAAATCTTAGAGGCCTGAGAGGGTAACATCAGCTCCCCAAAAGGACCTCACTTACAAGAAGACTATAACAAAGGTGGGATAACTGTAGTTTTTCCCCACTTGAAAAAATTTAGAAAGTGCCAAAATAGCACCTAGTTAGCATAATAACAACGATAACAATAAATAAGGACATGTTAACAGAAGGAATGTTTCCTCCCTCTGAGTGAAATTTCTCTCTAGCCCCACCTGGCTTCCTCAGCCTCACATTTTGTGAAGCTTTACCCTGCTGCCAAAATTCCTTTAATGGCTCTGTTAGAGAGTAACAAAGGTTCTAAATGCCTCTGACTCCCTAAATGTCCACACGGACATAGGAATGTACTAAGTAGCCACACAAAGAAACAGATCAAGGTTCACCTTTGTTCCCTGGTAGAACTGGACAACCCCAGTCCAGACAGACATCAAAATGCACAGACTTACCTAGGGCAAGAGAAACTACGGAGAAGTCACAG